AAGTAATAAACCGAAAAACATTTACCGATCTATGATTTGTTAAATGTTATCCATGTAAATGCCGTGATTTTGTAAATCAGTTTATGATGCTGACAATATATACAATTTTATAATATTTTCTCTGTTTAAACAACTAAAATTAAATTTTGTTATACTATTACAAAATTAAATTTTGTTATACTATACTATGTTATGCTATACGTAATTTTCCGAATGACCAACCTGATTTTCCGAATATGTTAATTCTAAAAAAGTTGGGGGGGTTAGCCACCTCCCCAATACCCCCCTTCGCTTCGGCCCTGCCATTGTTTATACATGTTATTTATATTGTGCAAATGTTCCTGTGCTGTTTTGTACTTGTGTGTGAAGGCATGAAGCTGTGCATTATGTGTATTGTATTTTGTTAAACCAGGTCCGTCAACGTAATTGGCTTACGCTGTGTTGACGTTCCTGTGCCGTTTTGTACTAGCGTAAATTTTGTAAACGGCAAAGTTTATAAATAAAAATAATAAAAACCGTCTATAGTTTACTCATTTCTACATTGACTTTATTAGAGATATTTATATTTATTAGACATCGAAGATTCTCCTGTACTAGTTGTGCACACATCACTTGTTGCCGGTATTCTTGCTCGCGAGTTAACTTCATGAAACCTTCCTTCTGAAGAAGACCCAGGATAACTTTGCTTCCCACTTGTGACAGATTATTTACTTTATCCACACAATAAGTTCTTGTATTTGACTTTAGTTTCCGAGGAAAGCACACAGTAGAATATAAACACCAAAAGTCCTTGAATTGAGTTGAAAATACAAAATAGATATTGAAAGACTAATTTAGCATCACGTATAGCGAGAATACCGAATAGCCAGGTTAAACCAAGCACAACCAAGATGGCGGAAGCTCGTCTGGCGTGTTGTAATCCAGTGGCTCTCTTGTCTGCCGCTACTTTACTTCCGGCTGTCAGCAGTGAGCGAATGATAAGAACGAATGCTATGGAGTTTACAACGAGGATTAAAACCACTGGAGTCAAGAAGCCAACCTGGAACGGTAGACCTTGCACTCGGCAACTACAAGGAAAAATAAATCTTAAGAAAACACTCGGAACCATATTCAAGTTTGCATAATTTTACCATTCGACAAGAAACGCATGAAACTGGACGGATTAGAGGACAGTTAACAATACGAATTTCCGTTTGAACAAATGGAAACAGACAAATTTGAGGTTCCGAATTCGTTTGTCTCGCGTGTGAAAGTAGTCTTACGTCATCCATGCAAAACAAACAAACTTACAAGTTTTCATCACCATATTCTTCAATCGCTATTGCGGCTGTTATTATCACAATCACAGCTGGTAGACCTGAAAAAATTATTAACTTTTTAACTTTAGAATCTATATCAACATCAATCGATTGATCCTTATTATTCAATCAAACAACCAATTAATCGATAATACAATCAATTACTCACCCCATCCAACCACACAGCATTTCAATATAAACTTGGAATGATATCTTGGCATAACTTTAACAAATGCTAGATACATGCTGTAAGCTTGTATAGATGTCCAGACAAACACGACTAACACAAAATAATGTAGAGCTATTGCTGCAACCCTACAGGCAGCAAAGGACGAGGTGTTTGATCTCTCCGCAGCCACCAGAAACACGATTAATGTTAGCGAGAGAGCAAAGCAGAAATTGAGTAAGATCCGAGTTGGCACTTTGCATCGAAGATCTCTAAAAATCGAGACAACAAAATTATAGTTAAAAATAATCATCGATTTATTATCTGTGACAATAAATAATAACTAATATATCAATATTATTTATTTAAAAAATTCATTAATAATTCGCGAGGAAAATACAAAAGAAATGAATGTTTAATCAATGTTTGTAAATCGGATAAAGATTTGTCCTGATTTACATAAACTTCAGCTTTGATTTTCTCGGCTTAGACAATGTTTATTTTTAAAATTACTTCGCCAATTAACTCATAAGATGGGTCATTTTTTAAGTACGATAAAACATTCGCATCCGATCAGTATCTGATATACAAACTCTCACCTTCGGCTCAAGTTTGTATATCAGATAAAGATCAGTTGCTCATGTTTTAACTAGTACTAATTGTGTGATTACATTGTTAAAAGTGGTAAAGGTATCCATGCAGTATAAGCTAAAGTTATTTTTGTTTAGGTTTCCTATCTTACTAGCCTGTACAACAAGCAGTTTAGAACTAATAGAGGTATCCGATATAAATAAAGGAAATTACCTGTAAGTAGAACAGGTATAAGAACTGATGGAACTATCCAGTATACATATAAAGTTAGTATATTTACTTACTTGAATATAAGCATAGTGAATATAGTTAGGACAAGACCAAACAATGAGATAGCACATCCAATGTAACTGATGACACTCAGAACTTTATCATGAGTCTCGTCTCTGTCATCAATATGCACATCCTGCAAAAGAATAATCGAACAAAGAAGAAATATTTCTCTCTCTTACAGAACATGCTTGATCAAATGTGAAGAATTAATCTGCAAAGTAAGCTGTTCGTAAAAAAGTGTTTTGCAGTTCTTGCAGATTTAAACATAATAAAAAGAGTCTGTTTTAAATGTGATCAAAATTAGAGTAAATTGCAAAAGATCTCAGATTGAAAGGGTATAAACAACATACATGGTTGGCAAGGCGGGCCAGGCAAGTAATAGACTAATTCTGCTACCATAAATATTCGAGTAGCTGGAAAAATCTTACCAGTTACCATTGCTTTTTTCTGGATGTGGGAACTAAAATCTAGCATTATATTATTTGCACTAATGAAGATCCGGCCGAGCGGACTTACAGATCGAAAGGTGGCTACCTACACTTTTCAGTTAACAAATGGAAGATTTTCTGACTTTGGACATGAATTTCCGGACAATAATAATTTGTTGAAAAACAAAGAGCATTTGACTTGAATAAAACAATAACTAAGTCTAAGTTAGAGTACGTTTTTTAAAATTTACTCCTAACAGCCGTTGCTATGGCAACAATGTCGTTTCAATATGGCGGATATTTTTTATTTAAAGTAATCTTGAATTCGAAAATAAGGTCGGTGACCCTCATTTTTTATTTTATAGCATGATTTCTTTTAGTGTGTTGAATCATTTTCGAGATTTAAAAAAATCCAAGTAATCTGAATTCTAGTAAACTGTAGGGAGCCACCTTAAGAGGCAATTTTTTCTATGTCGTGTATTTGCGATGAAAATTCTTCAAAATCGAAATTTTTTTGGCGTTCCTCTCGAAATTGCTTTAATTAAACAGCTAGCTACTTTTTTAAATGCATTTGCCGGTTGGGAAACAGAAAATAATTGTCAATTATGCTTTAAAAGTGACGCCATGTATTTAATACGGCAATATAAGCAAAACTTGCTAAACTTCAGACATCATTTTCTCTTTGGCGTATCATCTACAATCTCTTCATTTTCGCATTATTTTACAGATAAAGCGCTACATATACATTTTAAGTTTGACAAATAAAATTTTAATATAGTCATTAACCGCAAGTGGTAGCTATATTAGTTTTCAGTGCGTGTTACGTAACATACAAAAAATATCCTCTTAAATTAATAAACCTGTTGTTTTCCACAAAACAAAACAATTATATTTATTTAAGTATATATTAAGTATATACTTCTGTATAAACCTTACCATCAATATAGCAAAGTTAGTCAAATGTGTACAATGACACGTGACTACATCATCCACAATTCCTTGATAACTACATCCAACAGATGACCAGTTTCCTAAACCGCTCTTCCCCGCGGTGAAGTTCCAAAAAACACAAGCCGTTGTTTCGTCTCTGCCCACATCCAGTGGCTGATAAGTTGTTTTTATAGGATCTGTGAGGTTAGTTAACCTCTGGCCTTTTACAGAACCTGATATTACGAAACTATTCTTTCTTCGAACTGCATTTGCTTGCGACGCCGAGTTTGGTTCTTTTTTCTCTGAGGTTATAAAGAATGAGGTCTTGCGATATATTGCGAACGAGATGCGTTGATTCTGAGTGTTTACGTCGATATCTAAGTCTTTAAACAGCGAGCTTGGCATGGTCAATGACACGTGTGATTGATTAGGTTGAACGCCTGATTCGTTATCATAGATTACCAAGTTATGTGCTGTATTTTGTTCAACAGAGGCAGCAGCAGCTCCCTCGAAGTCTCGGGAGTTATATTCTTGTGTATATACAGCGATGTTCTCTTCGTTTTGGCTTACATTTTGACTAAGTGTTAGAAGAATGTTCTCTAAATATTGATCCAGAACTCTTATGATTCTGTAAGGAAATGTAAATTAGTCCTGATGTGGACCTACTATAGCCTACATTGAGCATTCTAATGTTCTCCGAAAAATGACCAATAGGCAATACTTCGAATATTCACTGTCCTGAGCATTCTGAAGTATATGCCGTAATATCGGGGGTGGAAGTAAAATAATGAACACCAGGGGCCGGTTGTTCGAAAAATGGTTAGCTAAACCCTGCTGGGTTAACGCAAAGCAAATTACTTCCCAGCAGCTTGTTTATGAACTTGGAAATATTTCTTCAGAAATCTTGCATGGGTCAATACGAGTTTTCTTTTCTGGAGGTTTGCAATAAACAAACGTGCAGACACACACAAATTACTAAAATGGCAGATGAATTTAATCCAGGCCTTAGCGTTAATTCAGCTTTGAACAACTGGCCCCAGGTTTGTTGTATAGGAAATGAAAATTGAAAATTTGAATGGAATAAAGGATCTACCAAAAATGAATAAATAATTCGGAAAATACGACGAATTTGGAAATACTTAAAATGAACAATTGAACCACAATTATTCCGCTTCCACCCCCTATATTTAAATTTTCACCCACCTTGCCGATGAATTGGTGATTCTCTGGCTTTCAAAAAGAACGTTCTCCTTCGTATTCAAAAGATTGTTCATTGACTTCACTATATTTGATCCAGTCTAAAGGAAATATTTAACAAGGTATAGGGAATAATTATTATGATTTCGAGTGCAATTTGGAATAAAACATGCAAGAGTGAATTTTTCAAACATCAAACCGTATTTACTCGTTCTCACCAATGCAGCGTTTAATTAATAGAATCATTCTTATTAACTAACTAAATAAAGTATGAACTGAATTACACTCAAGTACCATACAGTTTAAAAAGTACGGCACAACTTAATCTAAACCAGTCTCGGAAATTGATTCTTCTATATAGTTCAAAGTGGGTATATTTCACTGCTCTGTTACTTATCTCTTTCTGCAAAACGTCAGCTATGCATTTGCAGTTCCGTCCAGTGAAAGTCGAGAATTTTGCTGGTCACAACTAGTCCAACCTCTCTCTTCCTTTTCCAGTGACCTTCGCGAATAGTTTGTTGTCAGCGTTTGCGTCTGGGAAGTTCTTTAATAAGCGCGACAGTTCGATACTAAGCGTTTTCATCATGTTCCTTTGCTTCCGCGCGAGTACCTTCCTCACATTCGAGTATTTCCTCTACTACAGTAGCTGGAAATTTGAAAACGCCACCAAGAGAAACTATTTTACAATGGATTATGGATTCCTGGACAGATTTGGCGACATTGAATTTTTCAGTGGACTGCTCAAAGGATGAGTGATTGGATTCAATGTTTCAAGGAGGGACAGTCGTGTATAGCACTGGACGAACAAGCCTCATGTCAAGTCACAAATGGATATTCTCGATGGGTCAGAAGAGGCTGATACCCTACCATTCAGCTGATGGACTCGGACCACGTAGGGGACAGTGACATTAAGCCGGATACTAGAATAAGAAAAGTGACTGAGCAGCGCGCTAGTCACCAGAAACTTGGCACTTCCCACATAGACAGTGAACATTTCAGAAGAGACATAAATGTTCTTAGGGTTTTAGTTTTTGGGGTTTTACTGTTTTAGTATTAAATTTGGTTTAAGTTTAATTCCGCAAAGATTTATAATAAACACCGCCCTCGAATAAATGCCGCAGCCCAAGCCAAAAAAAAAATAATAACGCCGCGGTGTAAATACGGTAGTCCAAAGGATGAGAGCAATTTGGAGTGATCAAAAAATTCATGAGTGCATGTTTCCAAATTGGACGAGAAACCACACTATTATTGACAATATAAAACAATAACCAATTCATAGTCGCTCACATGCATGAAACAAATGGAAATAAATAATTTACTAACTCATTTGAATGGCACAATAACTTAATATAAGTTTTTAAGTGTCCGTGAGAAGTCAAAACGTAAATCAAAATGTCTTTTGTTGTGGCGCTTGCCCAACATTTCTTCTTTGGCACTGTATTTCAATAAATTGCACTCTTCTTAGTCAATCAAAATCGAGTAATATTTACGGTATATTATTATGATGTACTATTTAAAACACGAGTAGGAGTGTTTTATCAGATATAACGAGTTTCTTGCTCTTATAAGAGGCAGCATACATTTCTGAAGTTGACAACCATCTGCTGTCTTGAAATGCTTACTGAAATCCACCAATATATATAAGATCTATGAATTTGACAGTAATACATAAGTACCAACATTTCTGAAGTTGACCATCATCTGCTGTCTTGAAAGGCTTACTGAAACCCACCAATATATACAAGATCTATGAATTTGACAGTAATACATAAGTACCAACATTTCTGAAGTTGACCATCATCTGCTGTCTTGAAAGGCTTACTGAAACCCACCAATATATACAAGATCTATGAATTTGACAGTAATACATAAGTACCAACATTTCTGAAGTTGACCATCATCTGCTGTCTTGAAATTCTTACTGAAACCCACCAATATATACAAGATCTATGAATTTGACAGTAATACATAAGTACCAACATTTCTGAAGTTGACTATCATCTGCTGTCTTGAAATTCTTACTGAAACCCACCAATATATACAAGATCTATGAATTTGACAGTAATACATAAGTACCAACATTTCTGAAGTTGACCATCATCTGCTGTCTTGAAATTCTTACTGAAACCCACCAATATATATAAGATCTATGAATTTGACAGTAATACATAAGTACCAACATTTCTGAAGTTGACTATCATCTGCTGTCTTGAAATTCTTACTGAAACCCACCAATATATACAAGATCTATGAATTTGACAGTAATACATAAGTACCAACATTTCTGAAGTTGACCATCATCTGCTGTCTTGAAACGCTTACTGAAACCCACCAATATATACAAGATCTATGAATTTGACAGTAATACATAAGTATCAACATTTCTGAAGTTGACTACCATCTGCTGTCTTGAAATGCTTACTGAAATCCACCAATATATATAAGATCTATGAATTTGACAGTAATACATAAGTACCAACATTTCTGAAGTTGACCATCATCTGCTGTCTTGAAAGGCTTACTGAAACCCACCAATATATACAAGATCTATGAATTTGACAGTAATACATAAGTACCAACATTTCTGAAGTTGACTACCATCTGCTGTCTTGAAATTCTTACTGAAACCCACCAATATATACAAGATCTATGAATTTGACAGTAATACATAAGTTCCAACATTTCTGAAGTTGACCATCATCAGTCTTGAAATTCTTACTGAAACCCACCAATATAAGATCTATGAATTTGACAGACCACCATGTGCTGGTATATGGTAACTGAAACTTATCAGGATTTTAAGCATCCCGTCGATATAATTGACGGAAATCTCTAGTGTAAATGTTATACATATTTTAGACCTATCCAGGAGCAGCTGCGAAAAATGTGACTATAGACCCTCCACAAGATTTTCATCCATAAAAACCCTCTATTCGAGATTTCCATCCACAAAAACTCTTCCACATTACTGAAAGCTATCATGCCAACAGTCAAAGGAAATGTTAGGAAAATCTTGAGCTTTTTTTTTCACGTTGCTTACCTTGTTTAATTGTTGAGTGTCATTAACGATATCTTCCAGAATTATCGTTGATAAAATAACATCATTCGCTGTGAATTCACGAGCATATATTGATGCAATACCAACGAGTTCCTCGCTCGCATTATGTCGCGATATTTTGTCTCTCTTTAATTTCTAAACGAAAGTTAGGAAATATCAAAATTAATTAGTTAAGAAACTCGAAATTCTGGTTCAGTGAGGTGACCGTGGATATAGTTCTATCAGTTCTAAATTATTCTCCATAGAGGTCCAGTAAGTACCATCCTAGCTATAGGTCATCCAGTATATTAGCTACGCTAACGTTATTTATATACTGGATAGTTATATCAGTTCCAAACTGTTCTCCATGGTGGTCAAGTCTTCCAACTTCACTGTTCTTTTCTCTATTCAGAGAAAGCGTTGAATTTGCACACAGGAGCTCTTGAAAATCCAGAGAGGAATTTGTAGGTGGGCTCTAAACTTCAATGTACTGTTCAGAGAAATATTTCAATCATTTACCCGAAGAACTTTTGACAAAGTCGAAGTGAGTTCATCATTCACACGCTTGAAGTTACACGTACTCGTATTAGGCTTGAGCCAGTATGGGTTCTTGCAAACGTTGGGTATGTCACATGCACAGAAACGTTTTGCGGTTGATTCTACATCGGTAGATCTGTCATCGATATCGTCCAGTTCACCGTATGGGCAGTTAATAGTTTGCCATTGGTTCCCATCTTGCGTTGTCCAGAAAAATTTTCCTTGAATGATTTCTTCTCCTGTTGTGTCGTTTTGACATTGTTCTTAAAGAGAAAACATTTTCATGTTTTTATAATGTATTTTGCATTTCACATGTACATGCTCAGCTATTCTCATCCACAAAGTGGTATTTCATCTTCGTATGATTGTGACCATGTCTGATTCCCGCAATACGCAGTTGTCACATCTCAGGCACATGTGAGAAGAATGCTTCAAATTTAGACTGCAGGTTTTCTCCTGATACTTCGGTTTCCTTCTGTATAACACAAGTCTGGACTAGTAAGCGATCACCCTTACTGGACCTTTAGAACTGATAAAGTTATCAAAACAAAGCTAAAGTTTAGGTTTCCTTCTGTAACAACACCTGACCATTAAGGAATGATCCATATTGGACCTCCAGGGATACGATTTAGAACGGATAAAGTTATCCAGGATAAGTAGAGTTAGTTTAGGTTTAGTCCTGTAGTAACACCCTTACTGGATCTTTATGAAAACCAGTTTACACAGAACTGGTAGAGCAATAGTTCATTCGCGCATGAAAGGAAAAAGCCGTGTTCTGCAATACATCTATCCTCGTTTTCTTGATTGAGATGTTGCATGGGCTTTAACTTGTGTTACACACACGAAAACGAGGCTCTATAGCCAAGATGACATACTTTCCGGAAGGATGTATTGTTGTGGTTGGTTAATATCTTACCAAACGTGTTGGATATACTTCCCACGAACGCGCCAGGTAAACTGGATGTTGATCTTAATGATGCCAATATTATTTCATAATCCGTTGCTGGTGTGAGTTGCTCCAGTGTGAGGGCACCAGGCCTTGGTAACGTGTGTGTCGTCGTGCACTGATAAGCTGTTGTAGTATCACGTCGCCTGTACAGAGCTGTTGTGTTCAAATCTCCTGTGCGATCGAAGGAAATGTTTAGTCTCGTAGAAAACTGTGGAGTAATTTGAATATTCTTTGGCGCAGGAGGACCAAATGGGTTAAATCGTTGAATTACAACTATAAAGGGAATATAAGGGCCGGCCTGTAAGAATAGCTAAATTATTTGTGTTCTTTACAAGTTTTGGACTTTAAAAGGTGCCTATCGTGAAGAAATATATCGCGTTTTATGACTTTATATAAACATTTTCTGGACCATATCTGCGTTTTATCCTTTTGGATAAAATGCGAATATGACTTATAAAGGGCTGAAAAACGTTTTCTGAACCATATCCGCGTTTTACCCTTTTGAATAAAACGCGGATGACTGTTAAATGACATTTTGCGAGAACATAAGCCATCCGTCCGTCCGTCCGCCATTCATCCGTCCGTCCGTCTGCCATCCATCCGTCCGTCCGTCCGCGTTTTATCCTAATCCGTATGATTTTGTCTTAGAGAGATGTTGTTCGTCTTGTAATCTTTAAAAATAACAAAATATACTTACAAACAGTGATTTGATTGATGAACCATTTTGCATCTTGACAGTTCACGTTGACAGGAGGCCAGGTAAAGTTCTCTCCTTTAGTATTAAGATCTTTTACTGCATTGAAACATTTAGAATTGTCACTTATAACGTCAAGACAGAATGATTGACTTACTGGTGAGCGAGGGCAAACAGGCAGATGTAGGTGACATAGGAGATGAACTAGTGACGAGAAACAGTTCTCGTAGTTTACATTATTTAACGCATCCGGTCCTCGTAATGAACTTATCAAGTTCAAATATTTGCTTAACTCATACACTGCTTCGCCTGTTGAACTATGGTTAAAGTAGTTGCCATTTTGAAATGTTGTTTGACGTTCTGTGATCAATGAACAGATAGGAGTAGAAGGCGTAGGTTTACATTCTGTTGAGATAGCTTGTCGACGTCTGGACGTCTCCTTGTCTATAAATGGGAATAAGAAACCGAATTATTATGTACTAGTTAAAATATTCCGAATTATTATGTTAAGTTAGAGCTTAAATATCCCCGCTGACAATTCGTGACTGCCAACTCACATCAACTCTGCTTCTGTTTGACCGTGGCTTTTAGGGTATGTCTTGGTGCTGAGTATAACTGTATTTCATAGTGGAATTTCATTACTAATTCATGAAACACAAAGGAAATCTTGACCGTGAAGATTGATGTTGAACGCGGATTTTTTCTGTCTAATGGCTGAGAAAAGAAATTAAGACCGTGGAGGAGCTCGTTTATTAAGTCAAGCCAGCTACTGTCGAGGGTATTTTCTTAGGTTTAGTAACCTGCACTTGAAAATTCGTGTAAGTAGAATTTGGTTGCTTCTATCATGTGCTTCCAGGGTTTTCCTCCCGGTCCCCGGGTTTTCCTCCCTAACCACAAACTACACGTTGGGCTTTAATTGTCAGGCTGACTCAGACACGTGTACCATGAGCCTCCAGCTCGGGTGAGCTGGGCAAGCACACCACATAATAATAATTTTTATCAAAAATATCCACCTGAATTGTTTGTTGCTGAACCATTGGTCAAATCTGCAATGGAGATAATATATTTGTGAGTGGGATAGCGATAGTTTTACTGAGCACTATTGTGTAGTAGATGGTGCCGGGTTAACCTGCAGTTATCTAAGTGAGAAATTATTTTCGTCATAAACATTTTCATATAAAATAAAATCGCACACAAACATTGCACTCTTACTGTAACACGTTGCATCATTCGAAAACTTGCTACATTCCAATTCTGGAGGCCAGAAGAAGCGTGAACGACCAATAGCGTACTTGCAACTTTGATACACCCTCTCACAAGACTCCCGACATGGTCTCTGACTTGTGTTTGTAACTGGATCGTACCGAGGAAGAAATATTGAACAAAGGAAAGTTTCTAGTTCGCTGGAGCAAAATGTGTGGACCAGGGGGTAGAAAGGAAGAAATCGCATTTTTGCACTTGCAATGGTTTGATCAGCATACATGTTAGGTAACGATGTTTTCCTGTAGTAATTGTAACATATATCAATTGTCCTGGGTATATCATCGATCACAATGGCATCTAAAAAATAAATTAAAACATGTAAAAATAATTGACTTGGTTAATTCTAATCCTAGCCCTAATCGCTTCGAGGGTAGGATCTTGTTACTTGATAGCAGTGCCGCCGAGATGGGTGGGGCAGCGAGGAGGGCATTTTGGTGCGAACAGTTGCGGTGTGCGAGAGATACAACCACCTGGAAAATATAAGCAGAGCTTCAACATATCCTGCGAAGGCCCTTTGTCGGGAAGTTAGTGTAATGACGTAATAGTGACGTCATGCTTTAGAAGCATGCGCACTTATAAATATAGGGATAAGGAATACATGTGTTTATGCATCGAAGTCAATACTGTATTACAGTTAGTTACCCCAACGAGGGGTCTTCGCTCTAAACGTCGAAGTACTGCTTATATTTTTGTTGTACATCTTTTTCACACCATTGACTGATTCTTTTCGTATGAACGACCTTGGAGACGCAAGGCGCTTGATCTGAGGATTGCGCCATCGAACCTCTGCAATACCTGAGTTGTTGACATAGATCACACTGGTTAAAGCAAGAAGACAAATAACCACACAACTTTCAGAAATCTTGCTCGTCGCCATCTAGAATTTGAACAAAAGAATCCTCCTTTAAAAAATGGAATTCAAACTTTCACTGATAACTAACAACATACAAAGCTTTTGATCTTATCACCAGGATATTCATTAGCGCAATACCTACCGAGGTTCTCTTGTCAATATGGCGTAACCAATATGTGTTTCTCTATCTCGTGTGGACGTAGTGGTCAACCTGCAATTACCAGAGTAGAAAAGTGATGTTTATTCTTTTCATACGTATAGGGGGCAAATCGAATTGATGGATTGGGGTCGGTCATAAAAACTCGAACGGTCTTTGTCAGCGTCAGTAGTGACAACAGCACCAGAAAACTGCAGATTGAGAGTGATTCAACGACTTGAAAAATACAAGGAGAACTTCGACGTTTCGAGCGAAGGACCTTCGTCGGAAAGCTAACCACTTCCCAACGAAACGTCGAAGTTTTATTTGTATTTTCCCCTCTCTCTCAATCCGCAGCTTTCTGACATCAACTGTCGGCTTACCGCCTTTGTTTAACACCCAAACTTTGCCAATATATTACTCAATATTTTATATATAGTCTGTATGGTGCAGTATGATGTACACTTTTATAAGTTTTATTCGAGCTTCAATTTGTTCGTTTTCGTACAACTTGAATGAAAGCTGAAACGGTTAGACTTAGATCAAAATAATATAAGGTTATACATTACCAACCTAGATACAAGCGTATGTTTTCAATCCCCGCGGCAGACACCACAGTATCAGGTCTATCACCAAATAATGACAAAACTTGCATTACGTAAATATATATATGAAGTGTAGCGAAAGAAAGCAAGAAAGAATATCGTCTTGAGACGTTGCGGAAACCACTTCATTAGAGACTTTTTAGTCCATCGAAGAGTTCATTGTTTAAACGTCGAACTCTTCATGTGCTGAACTTAATCACTAATGCAAATGGTCTGAAACAACGGGTCTAGGGTCATTTACACGATACGTGCGACGTGTGAACGTGATCTTATGTCGCCCTGGACCAACCCTGATTTTTATATTTTCCATTTTTGTTTTTTATGGAAGCGTCACATAAGGCATGATATCAGTGATAATTTTAAAGAGCATGCAAAGTCATTTTGATGGAACTTTCTCGACTTTTGAAACAAAATCGTAGAAATATTCCTTGTAGGTACACAGTGTTTAATATAAATGCAATAAAATGTCGGCGAAAACTGTGTGCGTCGTTTCTAAGAGGGGGTGGGTGGAGGATGGTGTAAGGTTGATCTATGATGATTCATTAGGGAGTGAAAAGTTATAGTTGATGGCAAATATAAAGAATTGAGAGATGCAGTTTAATATTTTCTTCTCACCTTGAATATTTGTCAACATTTCTGAAGTTAATCACCATCCACGGCCTGTTCTACACTGATAAACTAAATAGTTAGTCTGTCCGGTTATGCATGGCTTCCATATTCGTTTATAACTAAAATTTACCAATATTGTTTATAGATTGTAGAATTGGCTTGAAAGGATTGTAAAGATACAAAACAAACGTTTTCAACTTCTATGCCTAAAGACAGATTAAAACGGGACAAGTAGCATTGACATATATCATATTTCATTATATCTAAGGATTTGCAAGATCAAACCACCTGGAAAATAGAACAAGATCTTCGACGTTTCGAGCGAAGGCCCTTCGTTGGGAATGTACCTTCCTCGGGCCTTCGCTCGAAACGTCCAAGTTCTGCTTGTATTTTTCGAGTATAGTTGCATCCCTATCAATCCGAAACTTTCTTAGTAAAAGTTTTCCTGTTCGGAACTTTAAACTTCTTGATATATATTTTCAGGCAGTTGTGTTATATTTCCTCCTTTCCATTTACAGTAATGGGTTAGGCTATCCAACTTGACTATCCCTGAATGTTATTAGAAAGTACCGGACACCGGATGGCAAGTTTCTTCACATCAACGAACGCCCTTGAAGTTGTCAAAGTCTAAACGAATACTTGATCATTTTCAATATCCACATCATAACGCACTTATAGCTATAATAGGGCACACTTCATTTCCGGAAGGGTTACACTTTCCTGTTGCACCTAATATCAAACGGGCCTTAGTTTTGCCTTAGTTTCTAATAAGAGGAAAACCGGAGCATCTAAATAAAATCCTCGAAGCACAGACCACCACCAAAAACATCTCTCAGGAAGGGCCTATGGTTGAAGACAACTTCAATTGCTTAAATAAGTAGTAAGGCCATGTAAGACATGTAACTATTTTGATAATTGCCCTGAATACATGAATTAAAGTAGATCAGTATATACCCAGACGAACTCTGGGCTCATCATCACCAATCCAACTTGAGGTGCCAGCTGAAAATGGCACCTTTCAAGACAACGCTGTTTGTCAACTTTAATTCTCTCCCAGATTGTTTACGAAATTAGCCTTTCTCACGCCGCCATTTTTGGGATACTGTCTTTTCCAAATCTGAGATTGTACGCAGTGAATAAGGGATTTGTATAACTATAATTGTGAGTATAATCATTATAAAGTACCATTTAAAACACGAGTAGGATGTGTTTTATCAGATATAAACCGACGCGAACGGTGAGAAAACGAGAAAACCTGGGTTTTTTTGGCCGCCATCTTGACGCTTTAAACCCCTTTGATTATTTCATTATTGAATTTTCTGCCAGAAAAAACGCAATAGCTACTAAAGGGGTTTTTACACAGTTTAAAAAACAACACTATATAAGGTCTATTTTACAATTTTTTCTTGTTTCTCTAAAATACTTCATAACTAAAACGAAAAAGCCAACATCAAGAAACGAAAAGATTGGCTTTAGCAGTTTAGGCTATCCGAATTCCGATCAAGCTTCGTCGCTTTTCATGTATGTATAGGTCTCGCATGTGGTGTGAACGAAGAGTGTATCTAAAAGTCGAGGGTCGAGAGTCGAGAGTATAGGTCGAGAGTAAAAGTCGAGAGTAATATAAAAGTCGAGAGTCGAGAGTAAAAGTCGGGGGTCGAGAGTAAAAAGTCGAGAGGAAAAAGTCGAGAGTCGAGAGTAAAAAGTCGAGAGTCGATCGAGAGTAAAAAGTCGAGAGTCGGCAAATGTCATCAGAAACAACAAAGTCAAAATATTTTTAACCACGTTTAACACAATCTATATAT